TGAAAACACCATCATTTGAATCCTGCAGCAGACTTTATACCTGTAGGCTCACAAATCAAGCCAAATCTTTAGAGCATCATTTCTGGCTTGTTGCAGATGTTTAAAAAAATGTAATTACATTGAAAGTTTAGTTTTTAGCATAGTTTAGTACAATCTGGGCCAACCTTTTTGGTAGGCATTCTACAAATTATGCCTGCACCCTTTCTGAGTGCCACTTCAATCCGCTTCCCCTGCCTAATCTTCTGCTCTGCTTTCCGCTCCATGCTCTGTGCTCCCTGCCTGAACTGTTGCTCTGTTTTCTGCTTCCTGCCCTACCTGCTACTGTGTTGCTTCTTCTCTGCCTGATCTGCCACATGCCACACACAAGCTGTTGTACCACTTGTGGTACACGTGTCATAGGTTAGCCACCTCTATCTTACTCTTCTCAGTGTGTAATCAGTCTAGATATCACCATTAATAGCATGGTCTTCTATACTGGTAATTTCTCAACCCTAATTCACCGCCATTACAGCTTTGCAGGGGATGGAAATGGCAGGAAAGAATGCAGATAGGACCTAAGCACTCTTAACGAATGGCTGTTTGAATAGCGCTAGATGCATTTACTTTTTTTCTATAGCTTCTGTTCTTGTGGCCATTGATGTAGTTCTGTCTTTGGTGATTTACACCTATAACATTTTTTGTGTAGACAGTATCAGACAAGATGTTCTTTGGCCTGTTCTGTTAGGTTCTGAGCCTGGGTTGGTGTCAGTTCATAGATTTTTAGGGTTGGTAGGGACCTCATTAGATCACTGAGTGTGACCCTCTGCCCTGGGCAGGAAAGAGCCTTGGGGTCAGATGACATTAGCTACCTCAAAAGCAGTAGAGTTAAATCAGTTTCTGTTGGCCAAGGATTGGGACCTTAGACTTGGGTCTAAGAGATGTTTCATGAACAAGAAAGAAATTGATTAAAGTAGCATTTTAAATAAGAGGATCATAAGATCAGAGAAAAATAGGGCTGAAGGGACCCAGCAGGTCATCTAGTCCAGTGCCCTGCTCAAGGCAGAAATATCCCTAAATCATCACAACCAGGTGTTTGTTAACCACCCTCATAGTAATATCAATATAGTAATAGTAATATCAAACCTAAATTTCCCTGATTGCAATTTGCTGCAACCTTTTCTTTCTCTTTTGATACAAGTATGTAGGAAATATGTGTAGATTTATATCTATACTGTTAGAAATAGTATTAGTAAAAATCCTATTATTAAAAGATTAAAAAAAAACCCCAAAATGCATGGGGAATTAAAAATAGCAACATCCAGACCTGAATGTCCTCTCATTTGCAGTGTAAGTCAAGAGTATCTCCACTGAGAACAGACCTGATTTTCTTTTCTCCTACCATACCGTTTTTTATTTGTGTCCACCGTGAAATCACAAAGGTAAATTTATGACACTATCATCATTCTTGTGGCAGAAGATTGCAAGCACAAAGATAAAAGCAGGATCCATAAGAAGATTAAACGACTTTGTGGGATGGTACACCAGTCAACACACACGTATCTTTAAGAAGTGCAATAGGAACATAGATCATTACTGTGCAAGTGAATTATTTTTGGACAAATTTTCTCATTCTTCATACTTGCCCCTGTGAAAGTCTTTCTTTAAATTTCTTTGTTTTTGTTGGCCTCTCTAACAGTTCCCAGTTTCCAAAAAGGATGTCCATGTTCTGTAAGTACAATACAGGGTTTTAAATTAGTCACAAGTTGATGGGGATGGAACAATTTCAAAGCAACCCTGAAATTTCATTTCTGCCCAACATGAGACTCTCAGCTTGTACCCAGGGAGGTGGAATTAGTGCGAGTCAGAAGTCTCATTTTCACCCTCAACTATACAGCAATTTAGCAATCTGGCAGCCAGATGGATGCTTGGTTATTAATAGGAGTGTTTACAGAGATCTGGGCAACAGCTTTCTCCACTCCAAAGGTAGTGGAGAACAAACAAAAAAGGCAAATAAAACCTGATGAGGGAAAACAGCACAAACTCTGGGCTGTGAGCTTGTCAGGGATTGGGGGAAAGAGGATGTTGAGGAAAAACGTGAAATGTATTGCCTAATTTTAAGATGGGATTATGTATACATTTCCTTTGGATGTTGATCCATTCAGCAATCTCTATTGATTAGTTTGGAATTTTCCTCCCCCTGGACTTTTTAAAATTCTGCTTGCCTTGTTCAACAACCTGCAGGTATCTCTGTCTTGTTGCAGAGACAGGAGTGCTGCCCCAAGATGAGACTGAAACTTGACTCAGTCATATGTAAAAAGTGTTCAACTGATTGACTAAATGTGAGATTTCAGTATTGTGCAAGGGCAGCTGCTTTGTGAAAGTAAGCCAATAAACTCCTCAGTGTTGTAAGAGGAAATGGCTTAGATCAGGGGTCAGCAACATTTTTGGATAGAGTGCCAAAAACATCCACAACCTTGACTTGTAAGATGTTGGTGTGCCAGGGAAAGATGATGGGAGAGCCACGAGGGGCCCGATCCTTGCTGTGGCAGTGCAGCCCTAGCCCCTTCCCTGCCATCTGCCCCAAGGTGCACGTGCCAAGCAAAAAGCCTTTGCATGCCACGCTCTAACACCATGCCAAGGGTTACCTACCCCTGGCTTAAATCTTGGCCTGTGGTATGTCTGCTTTGCACTAGTTCTGTGTGGCAAAATGGCTATGCCCCATTTTACATGGCTAGCTGAGAATTCCTCTGGCCTGTCCTGAAGACCAGAGGCAAAGGACAGCTTGAAGGTAGCAGACAGCCACCTTTACTAACCTCAGGTTCATATCAGAGTTGTGTTGGATGTGGATCTAATCCAGGGTGCACTCAGTGGTACTGCTTTCTAGGGAATGCTTTTTAATAGGGGTGCACCGATAGAGAATTTTTGGGCCAATATAGATGGCTGATTTTTAACGAGCCATATTGGCTGACACCGATCTGAAAGCTGATATGCAGTCGGGCAGTCTGGAGAGCAGTCAGACTGGTAAGTTTGTTGTGGAGGAAGAGGCAAGTGGGGAGGGAAGGGGTGTGAGAGGACTTGGATCAAGGCCCGGCGGTGAGGGAAGGAGTGGGGCTGAGGCAGGTGCTGCACAGCCAGGGCGGAGACCGGGATGGAGCTGCGAGTGGCTTGTCTGGAGGGAGTGGGAGGGCAGCTCCCACTGCTGCACGCACCCCAGGAGGGCATGGGGGGGGTGTCCCCCCGGAGCTGCACTTGGGTTAAGGCCGGCTGCTGCTGTGGGCTGGGACCAGGGTGGCACCAGGCTGTTCGTGGTTGGGGGCTGAGCTGGGGCTGCACTGAGGTGGGCAGTGGCAACGCTGGGTGGGAGCTATGGGGGGACTGCAGCCACCCCAAAATCACCATAGTCCCCTCCCAGTGCTGCCACTGCCTGCCCCCAGCACCACCCTGGCCCCAGCCTGCAGTGGCAGCCTGCCCTTGCCCTGAATGCATATCTGGGGGCACACCCCCCCCCTACCATCCTGGGGTGCATGCAGTGGTGGAAGCCACCAACTCATCCCCGTGCCCCCCAGACAAGCCGCTCCCGTCCCATACCCTGTGTTGGCTGTGCAGCACCTGCCCCAGCCCCAGTCCCTCCTTCAACTTGGAGGCTTTGACCTGCCCCCCATGCCCCTTTCCTCACAACAGACTTACCAGCCATACCTGGATGCTCTCCACGCTGCTGGGTTGCACTCCTGGCTGCCTGTATGCTGCAGCTGCGCGTGCACGGAGCATTTATCGGTGGCATTATCAGCTACATTAGCCAAGAAAAGCCAGTTGCTGATACAGTCAATTTTCCTTATATCAGTGCTGATCCAATATGGGACCAATGTATCGGTGCACCTCTACTTTTTAAGGATAATCCCTTAAATATTACATCATGTTTGAGCAGATGTGTTGTTTTGAAATTCATTCTCCACCTTTCACCTAAATCAGTTTACTTCATCAAAAGATGACTTCTCTGGCCGAATATCTTCAGTAAGTCTAAAAACATCAGAAACTCCATTCTTAAGGGACTACCAGTGGGGATTATTTTATGCATTTTAAGAAATAAATTTTCATCTCAATACAGAGAATAACTTGAAATCAGAAGTTCCAGCAGATGTGTTTTGTATTCTGAAAAGAATTGGCCAGGAATGTAAAGCACCCTAATCAGGCTTTTATATAAAAAATTCACAATCTTGTTTGTTTTAAAGGAATTAACAGATGTTTAAGGAAGTTACAAACATGGATTCCAGTTAGCTTCTCTGTTCGTAAGAGGTCTTCCTAGTAGTAAATATATCAGTCTGTTGCTTTCACCAATTATTTCAGAAATAACAGCACAAAGTACTCTTTCTGGTTCAAACAGCAGCGATTTTTTTTTTTTTTTTTTTTTTTTAACCTTCTGTGGAATGACTTGATACATATAAATTATATGATGCATATGGGAACTCTGTTATCTGAGGCCAGTTTGTCAGTCATGCTAATATTCAGCACATCTAAAAGTTCAGACATTGGTTACATTAAAGGTGTAGAAAGGCTGCTGTAGGCCTGGAGCTTAATCTAGGGCAGGGCTGTCCAATTTCTAAGTAGCCAGTGGCCTCACACTGTGCTCCCAGGCACCCCTTCCTCACTACACCAGGTGTGCCCAGGCACCCCACATGCTCCAGGGCATCCTGCCTCACCCGAAACTCCCCAGCTGTAGGCTCCCTGCTTCATCACATCTCTTGGGTACCCTAGGCTTCCCCAGGACTGTAGTCTGCATTGAGCAGCACTGTCCTGCCCTGCTCTGCTGTCAAAGCAATGGGGGAAGCAGTGGTCAGGTAGGAGCCTGGAGCCCTCTATTTTATCCCTTGCAGGCCATCAGTTTGACAGTTTTGATCTAGAGTATCAACCATGGGCATATAATTATACCTGTATTCAGAATTTGTCATCTGCTTTAAATAGTGCTATCCATACGGTCTAGACAATTGCCTGATTTATTTTTCATTTTATTTTCATTGCATCAGGTTGTTGGTGTGGCTCAAGCTATTAATAAGAAATCTGGAATTGGTGGCACGTTCACAGAGCAAGATGAAAAGGTATTTATTATAGGTGGACTCTGTGTGTGTGTGTGTGTGTGTGTGTGTGTGTGTGTGTGTGTGTGTGTGTGTGTGTGTGTGTTCTGTGAGCAATAGATTTCTTTTATGGCAGCAAGAAACCTTGAAATTACCAAAATTATACTAATCTTTGAACAAGTAAAAATTATTGACAAATTATTTTTTTTCTCTTTCTGAAGTTTTCATGAATGTGGGTGTAAATTAGTTTACTTTGGGGTCAGGTTTCTTTCCTCCCCTATTATTTACTGAATGTATTGTTAAACAATCCAGGTTCAACAGCTCACAGCAGTGGTCACCTTATGTGAAAAGAATCTCTCAGTGGGCACTACAAATATCAGATTATCATTAAAGCTGCCAAGCAACTTCTAAAATAATTGCATAACTTAATTTCCATATACATTATTTGCAAAAAAAGAAATGAGGCATTGGAGAAATTATAGTCAAAGCACATCTTTCATAATCAGCAGTGCAGAAAGCATCTTGATTCTGAACTCTCATGTTATGGTGAGGTTTTTTTTCTCAAGTGTATTCAGACTTCATATGCAGGCTGTGATGCACCAAGAAGGGTTGAATTCAGGCCGAAGGAGTTGACTTAAACTTTGGTAATAACAAAGTCAGAATTCATTCTCTTCCCTTTCAGATGGAATGCATAATGAACATCTGCAGGACATCAGAATTAATCCCTTGCTGAAAAGGAAAGCATTCATAGCTTTGCTAACCCACTTTTTAAAGATTTAATTCCTTTGTGTAATAGATTCTCATCATCTTCATTTGATTTTTTTTATGGGTGAAATTACGTTCACATGTATTAAGACGTTTTAGATAACCATCTCCTTCTGATAAAGCTCTACCTAGATAAACAGGAATATCAGCAATTTGTTTTGAAATTGGGAAGGAGATTCCTGATGAGATAGCAATCACAAAGGAAGACCAACCAAAGAAAACATTTTGTGTGACTTGCCAAAATCAACCTTAAACATGAAGCATTATCACAAAATTATAGAGCTGGAGTTCTGACCATAACGGAAGGGGTTTTTGTTAAAAGATATAAACACGCATATTTCTATTCGGTTGAAATCCTGGAGAGAAAAATAGCATAACCATTCTTGTTTTTCTGTAAATACCTTTTGTCTTAATATGCTGTGAAACCATTTTAGGTCTGTGCCTTCATTTCACCTAAGACTGAGATGCTAGCAAGATATTGGAAAAAATATATTAAAAATGTGCTGGTGGATGTTAAATGTCATCTTAATTAATCTTGGTCTCTCGTTGCTTTTCAGGATTTTGCTGCTTATCTAACATTCTGTGGAATTGTTCTTCACAATGCCCAGCTGTATGAGACATCATTGCTTGAAAATAGGCGTAACCAGGTATGACCACCGGATTTATTAAGGGACATGGGGATTTTTATAGTAAGGTAATATTTAGATCCTGTTCTGGACAGCTTATGCTTTTTTCTATATGGTGGACACTCCTTGTTTGTTTTCAATTTGTTTCCTTGTTGGGGAAACCATATGAAAAGGTTTGTAGAAACAAATAGGTGGAAACTATTTCAAAATTTTCCAGTAGGGTAGAATTTCAAAGTTGCTGCTAGAGTGTGCAGAAAAAAGCTTTTGGGTCAGATTTGCAGACCTAGTTCCAAATCCTTAGACAAACTAAGTGATAATCCAGGCACAGTTAACCGGATGAGAATTCTCTCAGCAGAAGTTACAGCTGTACACTATAACAATGTGGTGTCACAAAGGAAGTAGGATTTTATTTAGATCCGTTAGTCATAGTAGATGACAACTGTGTTCAGAAGTAATTTCTGTCATGTAAAACTTAAATCTATTTTTCACTCCTGTGAAAGCTAAAATGCACACACGTACATGCATACACACACTGACAAATATGGAAAAGACATATGCATAACTAATAGTGTCCGTCTGTGAGGGGAGAAAAATGTTGTCATAAAGTGAAAATACTTTCCAAGATTTTGGCATATTTGGAAAGGCAGAATGCTAAATGCCATTCTGGACCTAAACATGTCTTTCTGGTTTAAGACATTGTGCAGCTACATATACTTCCTAATTTCATTAGGAGTCTTCACACTGAATGCTGTTCATGATGCAGGTTCTTGACCTGCTCTCTGTCTGATAATCAAAATTTATGTTTAGTTATAGGAATGCATTATAACTTATCAGACAGGGGAGAAAGCCAGGAGGGCAATTAGTATAACTATTGCTTAACTTACCCTCTGAAAATTCATTAAGCTGGGTTTTGTTGTTTTTATTTTCCTTCCAGGTGCTTCTTGATCTTGCTAGTTTGATTTTTGAAGAGCAGCAATCCTTGGAAGTAATTTTGAAGAAGATAGCTGCAACTATAATCTCCTTCATGCAGGTGCAGAGATGCACCATTTTCATAGTGGATGAAGATTGCCCTGTGAGCGTGCTTCATTTTAACCTATAAATCCTATGAACCAAGCTCTTCACTTTTCTGTATTCTGTTACGGCTGCAGCAAGTACAAGGAACTGGCATATGAGGCCTGCTTTATAAAATAAGAGGCTGGACAGGAAATGCACTAATTTTTCAGTGTCCTCTTTAATTTACTCCTGCTCCCGTTCCCATGCCTACTCATCCTTTGCTTGTAGACTTGCTGACCCCAAATCAGACTCTCTGTGATTTGATACAGCCAGTTTGCATAGAAGGCTCATAATCTGGCAGCATGATTCTACCAGGAGGATCATGTTAACCTAAATGTGGCACTGTTCTGGCATAGGCCTGATACAAGGGCTGATAATACAAGGTAACAGAGAAGGAAAAAAAAAAAAGACAGTTACAGCAGGGTTGGGGCCTACTGTGCTAAATCAGCCATGAGGCATTGGCACCTGGCATGTTTACACCAGGGTAGAAAAAGAGTGAATATGTGGTGTATATCTCTCCACTAGTGTAAATGACTAGAATTCGACTCTTTTTTGACCTGGAGGGATGTGGGCAGTGGGGTCCCCCAGCGCTCGGTCCTTGGGCCCACACTGTTCAACATCTTCATTGGCAACTTGGACGAGGGTGTGAAAAGCATCTTGTTCAAATTCACAGATGAAAGTAAGATGTGGGGAGAAGTGAGCACATTGGAGGAGAGGGACAGGCTGCAACTAGATCTGGACAGGATACAGGGGTGGGCAGATGAGAACAGGATGCGTTTCAATACTGACTAGTGCAAGGTATTGCACCTGGGGTGGAAGAACCAGCAGCATACCTACAGGCTGGGAAACTCCCTTCTTGTCAGCACAGAGGCAGAAAAAGATCTGGGAGTCATTATTGATTCCAAAATGAACGTGTGCTGCCAATGTGGGAATGCGGTCAGGAAGGCTAATCTCACCTTGTCGTGCATCCACAGATGCATTACGAGCAGGTCCAAGATGGTGATCCTCCCCCTCTATGCGACACTGGTCAGGCCGCAGTTGGAGTACTGCATCCAGTTCTGGGCGCCGCACTTCAGGAGGGATGTGGCCAGCATCAAGAGGGTCCAGAGGAGGGCCACTCGCATGATCAGGGGGCAGCAAGGCAGGCCCCACGAGCAGAGGCTATGGGACCTGAACCTGTTCAGCCTCCACAAGAGTAGACTGAGAGGGGATCTGGTGGCCATCTATAAACTGGCTAAAAGAGACCAGCAGGCAATGGGAAAGTCCCTGTTCCCCCGAGCACTATCAGGAGTAACAAGGGATAATGGCTATAAGTTGACTGAGAGTAGATTCAGGCGAGATATCAGGAGGCACTACTTCACAGGGCGGCTAGGATCTAGAACCAACTTTCAAGGGAAGTGGTGCTCGCTCTTACCCTGGGGGGTCTTTAAAAGGAGGCTAGATAGACACCTAGCCAGGGTCGTTTGACCCCAGCATTCTTTCCTGCCCATGGCAGGGAGTCGGACTTGATGATCTGCTTAGGTCCCTTCTGACCCTACCAACTATGAAACTGTGAGAATGTGGTGTAATTATTTCAGGAAAAGGAAACCGCACCAGTAGAAGTTACAATACACCAGTACAAATTGAGTTATGGTGAGGTAAGTATTGTATATCTACAGTTATTCCAGGGTAACCGTTTGCTCAAAGTAATCAGTTATTAATTGTTTTCTTGCTGCTACCCTGTGGTGAGGCACTGTACTAGTGACTACTGCAGCTACTCCAACATTACTATTTATCCCTGATCTTAGTGCATTTATATCAGTGTATAAAACTGATGCACATTACCTCAGTATTAACATGGCCCCATGGTTGCCTTCAGTCTAACATAAGTTAAATCATCCCTCATGTACGTCACAGAAAGAACAGCTCTGCACAGCAGCACCAGCAGCACAAGAGTGCAGAAGAGACATTTATGTCCTCTTTGCATGCTTGCTCACTTGCTTTATAACTTAATGCTTTATGCAATGTATCCAAAGACTGCAATCAGTGGCTTCTCTGTCTCAATGTTCTCATCTATAAGATGATGATGATGATGATGTGTTGCTTCATGGTGGTGTCTGGCGCTAAATTTCTTAGCATTTACAAGGTGCTGAAATACTGTCATGATAAGGAGCCACAGCTTATCAATACATTTAAAAAGATGTAATGGGCTCAGTGGCATGATGCTCCTGGACTGTCTGCATGCAAGCAGTGCACAGTATGCATTTTGTCTGCGATGCAGTGAATGTTGAGAGAGACTGTACTAACATTAAGCTTTGGAGTTGCTTTGTAAACATGCCTGTGCTCACTGTGGGGCGGAGAAACTTTGCCGAGATGCAAGAAGCTTCAGTGATGTAAAGTGGTTATATTTCTTTGCTTGGAGCCAGACATGTTGGTGTGGGGTGTTAAATGCAATGAAATTTGCCTCAAGGCACACACAAGTCACTGCAGTTGATTTTCGCTTTATTACTGCTGTCACTGTTAATTATGATTTTTATTACCTGCAATCTCAATATATTTCTTTGCAGTAAGAATCCCTTTTGCCTTTCCAGGATTCCTTTTCTAGTGTGTTTCACATGGAGTCTGAGGAATTGGAAGATTCAGCTGATGTCCTAAAGAGGTGAAACTTGCTCTGAATTTCAGTTCATCATAGGCCAATGAAAATGTCTATGCTTGCAATCATTTTTCATAACAAACAACTTTCATGTTATGCAAACAGCATTTTAGTCTTATCTCTCTTGTGGTTTAGGGTTTTCCCTGAGATGCATACATCCAACTTTCTCTGGCTTGAATAGAGTCACCCAGCTATATCAGAGGGCAGAATAGGGCCTGCTTTTTAAATCTTTCTTCATTTTCTATGCAATGTTTTTTGAAGTTAAATACACATGGGGAAAAACGGGTAGCTCTGTAGCTCCATCTCACACACTTGTCATTAATTATCTTCCCTTTGTTTTTTAAGATAACTGTATTAGATTTTGGTAACACAAACAAGTTTAACATAAGAACACTTCTTCTGAAGAAAGACAAATTGAGGCACAACTCTTCATGGTCATTGGATAGCTGTGACCCCTGTGTCATTCCCCTTCCACCCCCAACCCATCCCAAGCACAGAATGGAACGAGATACAGTGCATTTTTTCAGCCTTCCCTCTGTGGATGTGGAAGGGAAGGGAACCCATAGGAGTATACTTGACTGTTTTGCAAAGCCCTTCTTCAGAAGGGCTTTGGTAAGAAGCAGCAGTATGCTAGCCAAACTGTATTGCATCACGGGCTGCATCCTCCTGCACACATCTCCTGTCATGCTCCAGTTATACAATCATTACAGAAATATTGCCAACCAGCAACTTCAAAGAATGCCCTTCTAGTTTACATTTCAAGTAGGGCAGGTTTTGAGCCCTACTTAAAACCCAAACATTTGGCAACATAGTTTTAGAAGATGAATATAATCTAACCAAGCAAATTGGAAGGTTACAGCTAAAACTTCCCATAAATAGGATTATTTTCATAGATTTTCAGCACTAGAAAAATTCATTACAACATTGCAATTGTGGTTGTTTCTATTGCAGTATTGATTCAGTGACACTTCACCATGAGTTTTTGTCAGTTAGAAATAAATCAATATCTAGGCGTTCTGGTTGAGTCTTGATTTCTGTATTAGTATAATTTAAGTAGTAGTAGCATCTCAAGATGTTGGTAAGAATTAGCGTTAAGCATTGTACATAGATGTAGTAAGGCTCTGAATGAGTAGTGCTCACTTGAGAAGGGAGCAAGGTAAATAGTAACCATAAGTAGTAACAGTGCTACACGTTCAAACAATTTATAGTGCCACAAAGTGGCAAAGCAGCCACAAAGATATTGCACAAAATATGTGGAAGATCCTTTGGCTTATTTGTATGGCACCATAAATTGAATGTGTAGCACATTCAATTGATTGTGTAGCGCATTCAATTTATGGGGGGACAGGGGTTAGCAACAGGAGTGGGACAGCCCTGGTTCTGATGTTGAAAATTGGCTGCTGGGACAGAGGGTTGCTAAGTTCTCTGGAGGGGGGAGCCTAAGGACTCTAGCTGCTGGAAACCTGGCAACCCCTGAGACAAACATTTCCTTCCCTAGCCTGCAGCCCCTGCACTTTAAAGGCAGAGGCACTTTAACATGCCAGGCTGTAGGTTGATCCCATTATTTTTAGATGGCAAGAAGGGGTGGGGGGAGACTTCTAAATGACACATGTTCAGCTGGGCTGTTCCGGGGTTGGGCTGACAGTTAGCTGACTGTCAGACCTGGCCCTGGGAGCCCCAGGTATCAGACCAACCCAGCCAAGACTGTGAGGACCTGTCTGACAATCAGCTAGTTGTCAGCCCCAGTCTCAACAGCCTCAGATCTGGAACCAGATGGGGGATAGGAGCAGCTCTGGGCCTGGAGCATCTCTATGATTGGGTTGGGGTTAGCTCAGTAGTGGCAAGATTGGGATTGGAAGAATTTTATGGCCCATCCCAAACATCACACTTCCTGCCATGTATATCTACCTTGGCAATGATGTAATTATTTTAACATCTGCCAGGGGCCTACATGTCAAATAATTATCGTCTTAAAGTTTGGGGACTCATGTATTTGTAATTCTTTACATTTACTATACAATACATAAAGAATCCATTTTCTAGGGCTAAAGGATCTCAACAAACTTCTCACATTTCAGAAACATTTCCCATTAAGCAACTGGGGTCATGAGCCCCATATTAAGTGAAGCAGTGTAATAATGATTAGCTGGATTTCTTGCTTAAGCACCTAACCTTCAACCCAGGTCATTACTGGATTTTTTTAAGTAGTGCCTCTTATTTTAACTCTTCTATGTGGAGTATTCTCTCCAGCAAGAGAGATCGTATTTCGCTGAACTTTTTAGTCTAATGTTTACTGTGGCAGGGCACTTTGTGTGCCTGCCACTTTAAGAGGTCAGGCAGTCTGCAGGGCCACTGGCAGATGGGGTCAGGCCTAATTAGAAAGTCAGCTGATCTGGGGGCTGGCAGGTGCAGCTTGGCCTGATCATGGGTGTCACCTGACTGCATGGGAAATGCCTGATTGGAGGAGGGCTGGGCTTTCACAGATGGGTCACAAATTGGCTAGAGGGCTACACACAGAGAGTGGTGGTGGACAGGTCATTTTCAGCCTGGAGGGATGTGAGCAGTGGGGTCCCCCAGGGCTCAGTCCTCAGGCCTGCACTGTTCAACATCTTTATCAGTGACTTGGACGAGGGGGTGAAAAGCACCTTGTTCAAATTTGTGGATGACACTAAGATGTGGGGAGAGGTGGACACGCTAGAAGGGAGGGACAGGCTACATCTAGATCTGGACAGGCTACAGGGGTGAGCAGATGAGACTAGGATGGGATTCAATACTGCTAAGTGCAGGGTATTGCACCTAGGGAGAAAGAACCAGCAGCATACACATAGGCTGGGGAACTCCCTTCTTGTCAGCACAGAGGCAGAAAAAGATCTTGGAGTTGTTATTGATTCTAAGATGAACATGGGCTGCTAATGTGAGGACACGGTCAGGAAGGCTAACCGCACCCTGTCATGCATCCACAGATGCATCTCGAGCAGGTCCATGGAGGTGATCCTCCCCCTCTATGCAACGTTGGTCAGGCCACAGTTGGAGTACTGCATCCAGTTCTGGGCGCCGCACTTCAGGAGGGATGTGGCCAGCATCGAGAGGGTCCAGAGGAGGGCCAAGCCAGGGGTCAAGGGGCAGCAGGGCAGGCCCTACGAGAAGAGGCTACAGGACCTGAACCTGTTCAGCCTCCACAAGAGAAGGCTGAGAGGGGATCTGGTGGCCACTTATAAACTTACTGGGGGGACCAGTGGGGAATGGGAGAGGACCTGTTCCCACAAGCACCTCCTGGAGTAACTAGGAATAACGACCACAAGCTGATTGAGAGTAGGTTCAGGCTGGACATTAGAAGGCACTGCTTTACAGTCAGGGTGGCTAGGATCTGGAACCAACCTCCAAGGGAAGTGGTGTTCGCTCCTACCTTGGGGGTCTTCAGAAGGAGGCTAGATAATCACCTGGCTGGGGTCATTTGACCCCAGCATTCATCGCTGCCCATGGCCGGGGTCAGACTTGATGATCTGCTCAGGTCCTTTCTGAGCCTATCAACTATGAAACTATGAAAATGTGTAGAAATTACTGCTTTCTTTTCTTAACACCCCACCTTCCTTGTTGCTGGCTCCACTCCAGTTTTGTGCCTATCCTTGCATATGTGCATTTAAAGCTGAAAAATAATTGAAACCTAGTCACGTATCAGAAGGGAAGAATGCGGAAGCTCGATGAGAATGGGCGTACAGAAGGAGGTGGGCCCTCTTCCAAAGAAGGCAAAGAGGGTCATTAGAATCAAAGTGCCTTATTTAAATACATAAGAGTATGCAATTAAGAGAGAACTGGTTGATTTGTAAAGTTATTTTAAGTCCTTATGTGGGGAAAGCAGATGGTCTGTGTCAATAACAGAATCACTATGCAATCAATTGTGCATTCACTCTGGGAGAGCATTTTATATGAACTTAGAAGCAGAAGATTTACAAATGTTGCCATCTGCTCTTGGTTTAAAATATGTGGATATCATCTATTACTAATATAATGTTGTCAGCTATGTACAGATGTATATTATTTAAGGGTTCTTTTTATGTGACTTAAGCTGTCATTCATTTTCTGTCCTTCATTTTATTAGACTACTTGATTCATTTACTAAGTGTGGTAATCTATTTCTAAAATATCTCTGACTGTCCTAACATTTAAGAATGTAAATACAACTCAAACCCGGAGCTCGCCTATATGACAGAGATTTTTTTTTAATGAATTTAATTAAATTGGTGAAAGCCACTTTGTAGACCCTTCAGTTTCAGTTTAAATTAGGCTTATTTACTGAATAAATGAGAAGCAGGTTTCAGCTAAACTAAAATGTTCACACAGGGTATATCTATATGAGATACTGCACATTTGTCTAATAACACTGTACAATAGCGTGTCATGACAGAAACCATGCTAATAGCATACTGTGCAGTGTTATTAAGCTTATGCGCAGTAAATGTCACTAAATAACCATGTACCAGTGCTACTGCGCACTTGCTCAGTAACTTTAGGTACTGTGCATTTAGTTAGTGTTTTATTAAGGAAGTACTAAACTAAATGTGCAGTATCTAAGGCGCATTAATGAGTGTGTAGATATGCCCACAGGGAGTGAACCCCAATTCAAATGAAAGGGAAACACAAATAGAGAGGGCTTGTATTGAGTTTATTAGGTGCATCTTGAACAAAGAAAGAGCTAAATAAACTCATGTATATCTTGTGTATTTCCTTATATTTAATGAAAACAAATAAACATGCCTCAAAGTTGAGGATTATAATGCACTCGGAATATTATGAATTATTTGTTCTTCTGTAGTGGCAAGTGCATCATCTAGGATGTTTGAACACTATAATCTCCCTTAATTTAATTTAACTGAGATGTGAATATAAAAAACTTCAGCTGTTCTGCTCAAATAGCTGTAGAGTGCTATTTAATATTTTCATTGACAACATGGGTCACAGAATAGATGAGCACAGCCCACAACTTTGTGGTGGGTCAGAGACGGCGCTTGGATCAGAGTGTGGGAATTGGGCTTAACTCTGCTTTTCCTTTTGATTTATACATGATAGTTTATGTTAACATTATGATGTGCCCTGGTGTCCTACAAAGATTGCAATAAATAATATCTGTCTATCTTTGGTACTCCATCAGGGACTACGATACAAACAAAATCAATTATATGTATGCTCAGTATGTCAAGAATACAATGGAACCTCTTAATATACCAGATGTCTGCAAAGACAGAAGATTTCCATGGACGGTAAGGAAACTGAAATTAGGTTTGGGATTTAGTAGTAAAAGACATGGGTGATCTTTGCTTTCCTTCCTTCTATGATCAGATCTTGTGTTTGCTACCATTTTTACCACTAGCTTTATTTTGCTTATTGACTGCCGGCAGTGGGAACTGTTTAGACATAAAAGGAGGCACAGTTCCTGCTTCAAGAAGTTTTACATTCTCTAAAGCTAAACAATATTGTTTTAACACACAGTGGGCAAGGTGGCCAGAAGATGGGTTTATCACAAAGAAGGTCAGTTATTTCTCCATGAAAGCAGGTTGCTATGCTGGGAGAAAGAAGTATGTTTTTAGGAAAGCATTTGAGTGAAGAGAGAGGATGGAAGTTTTTCACACCAGTCCTCTACAGTTTACTGTGAGACTTGGGAATGGTCTCAGGGGTCCCGCCCACCCTCTGGTTGTGTATCATAGATGTGGGCTGTTTACTGATCTGGAGAGTGTCAGCAACTCTCGATCAGTATTAGCTTGTGATATGTTGTTCCAATGACCATGTAGAGAGTGACTGGAGAGTTAAGAAGGAAGGAACAAAAAGGCAAAAGCAGATTGGTATTGGACCAGATAAATAAGAACTCTGATACCTTAGACTCCCTGTAGACAAAAAGCAAGGCTGCAGCTCTGTTGTTTATTCTGAGAACAGGGCCAAAAAAGCTGTCTGCTGTTTTTTTATTAACTTTTAAATGAAGATCAGGTTGATTTTATACATTTGGGTCAGGGAGAGAAGAGTATAGGGAGGAGGGTATCGGCATCGGGGCTTCCTCCACACATTCTTCCCTCTGCAGTCCAGCAGCAGAAAAATCAGGAGGCACAGTGTCCAGCAAGATGGTTCCAGTAAAATGATAGCAGGAGCTGACAGTAGTCTGTTCAGTCCTTCCCATTTTAATTGTTTACAGTTTCACTGTAGTTTTGGAACAGAAGCCAGTAGGGGTCTGAGCATTTTCAGCTCCACAAGTTAATAGGAATTGAGAGTGCTCAGCAGTTCGAGAGATGTGAAGTCTATTCTGCCAAGTATCCCCATTTTACTTCTTGGTATTGGGAGAAAAGCAAATGGATGCACTAGGTCAGGTAGCTAAAGAAAAAGGTGAATATTCAAAAGGAGTTTTAAAGTACCTGAAATAAATACATTAGGAGCAATTTCAAACGAGTGTTTGTCTGGGACAAGCTCTTTGTCCTGGCAGCAGACTTCAGATCTTCTGCTCGTGCAGAAATGCATTGTTCTCTGGGCTCTGGATGATTTCTTTTATGCCTGAGGGGAAAATGTTACCAGGCATTTACTTCTGGTTATATGCACACAAGGCTCATAAAGATGATGCAGTGCTGCTGTGGTTAGGGAATAAGGATTGATCTACTTCTTTAGCAAAATGACAAAAGGCTCATCTATACCACTGATGCTGCAGGTCCTGGATAGGACAGGGATGTGTACATTTTCCTATTCAAGTCCACATGTATGCTGCAGACCTGAAGGTTCACTACTGAAGCTGCCCTGGACTTGCCCCTAACCCCTACTCTTGAGCCGTCAGTCTCCTGAAGGCCTGAGAGGTGATGGCTGAAGATGAAACCAGAACTGCCTTGCTTTATATTCGGCATAATCTCTTGAAAGTTTTCTTCAAAAAGAAACACATACTATCATTCATTATAGGAAAAATGTTCCTTCATTTGTTTAATATCCTGTTTCTGTGCCTGAGAAAAGTTAATCAAAGCACAAGCATCAAAGACGCATCTATTTTTCTTTTCCTTGAATGGAATCAGACGGAGACGCATTCTGCTTTCAGTTACACCCACATGACCCAGGCAAGAGATGTAACAGAGCAAAATGATAGCCATTTTCTTTTGTTTCTATGGATTTGAGAAAAATACTTTCTTTTTCAAACAATGTTATTGTTCTTATACAGGTGGTTACTATAAACTGATTGCAAAACATGTGAATTGGTATTTTCAGGAACTGTAGTATGCTATTGTTATGCAATTGGTCACTCCTTGGCCCTTGACTTTACCTCCTTCTAAGGTCAGATCACTAAGACAGCCCTGAAGGAGTTCCTGCCAGTTCTCCCAGGACAGAGTGTAGCCATTTTAGTTTCTTACCATGGATCTAGCCTGTGGAGTTCCCCACGGGGTCTGACAGTATGTTAGTGGGGGAACACTTGCAGCTATTTGCCAGTCCCCTGCTATCAAATTTCTGGATGCCAAGAGAACCCCACAGGCCCAAGAACATGGCCCTACACACTGGATTGAGTGTGTAGGACCAATAGGGGTGGTGCAGGGTCAAGTGGGACCAAATTGGGCAAGTGGGGCAGAATGGACCCAAGCAGAGCCAAGTGGCATGGAGCCCGATCTGAATCTGTGGGGCCTGATCCGGCCCATGGACTGATCCCAAGCCACTTATCTGACCTACAGGGCTAAAAGATTGAGCACGACTGCTTTATAGCGTTCAAACAGTCCCTGTGGCCTTTGGTGGAATGAGAGAAGGCTGATCCTTAGAAACCCTCATGGCTGGTGGAAAGGAAAGAAATCCTGAAGCCTCACCAGTTTCTCCTCAGCTGCTCCAATTGAAACGCTGACCCAAGGGCGCTGTTCATTTTCATGACCCTGATACATTCTAACAAAAAGAAAAGAAATCCCATAGCATAAACAAGTGGGTACAAATAAGTGTATGTTTACTTCGACACATTTTTTGTATTATTCTGTAATTTATTCCCATAGGTTGCTTTCAGGGTCCAAATCTACTGTAGGTGCTGAGTAAACAGATCTGAAGACATGATCCCTTCCTCAAAATATCTACAATTGGAGAATTGCAATTTATAATATCATTCTGGCCTGATAGTTATGGCTGCTATGTAGGGCTCTGCAGATTTGTAACGCTGTTTTTAATTGTTTAACAGAATGAAAATGCAGAAAATATAAACCAGCACGTAAAGAGTTTGCTGTGTACGCCAATAAAAAATGGGAAGAAGAATAAAGTGATAGGTATTATCAATTTGATTTTTTTTTTTTTTTTTTTTTTTTACATTTCTGCTTATGTGCTGCATGCCCATTAGTTCAATGTATTTTTATTATGACATTTTAACTTCTGTCTTTGCAGGGGATAAAATGCATCTATAATATGTTACAAGTATGTGACTTCATAATACAGTTTTGCATTTATCTGTGTAATTGCTATACAGAAGTAGTTCTATACACCAGTGGTTTTCAACCTTTTTGAGTCTGAAGGCAGCCCTTGTTAGGCTCAAGGTACCCATCAGAAAATGCCAACTCTTAGTTTTCACTTTTTTCTTGACTACAGAAAAATGCTTGAGTAATTCTTCTATTGCAGAGAACTCGGAACGGCCACAACTAGTCACAAGTTTTTTGGATACTGTGGATTCCTATTTAATATCTTTGGGTTAATCTTGTAAATCATGGCTGGGGTTTTTACACCATTCATGTGGCACCCTGCATCACCCTTAAAAGGATCTCACAAAACCGTAAGGTGTCACAGCACACTCCCATGAGAATAAGTGTTTTACACAAAAGTAATATCCTAGCAATATGGGAACTAAAATCCTGGGAGAAGATCCTTAAAACAGAGAAATAGTTTTTTAGCGTTCACGTAATGCATACTGTCATACTCCTGTCTGTGATTTCTGTATCTACTACCATTACCACGTAATGACAACACCTCAAATTATCTTTCTGTGCTTTTTCAGTTTGTTCAGTGGGTGTATTTCACAGTGTTTTGTGAATCGTTGTTTGCTTTGCCTCTGTTGTAGATATTAGAATCCATGTTGTTTGTGCATCTTTCATATGGCAATGGAAAGGAAAAACTGTTTTTGAAAATAGGAAAGTGCAATTACAAAGATTGCTGATTACAAAGGTCCTCGGTCAGGGATTGCTTTAAATTGCTTTCACCTCTTTTTTCATATTTAATTGTCCAGATTTCAGGTTAATTGCAGATTCTTTCAATATTCATCTGTGAAATTCGTGATTTCACAGATTTTGCAGATTCTCTGAAATCCAGCACTGCCCATGAGATCCAGGCAATGCCTGTGAAATCCAAGAGGAGGGGGGGACTTACAGAAAAGAAAATGTTGGTTCCTCAGAGGGAGCTAGCAACATTACTGTGGTGTGGCAGCCCAGCAGGGTGGAGAACAGGGGAGGAAGGGGCTGTCTTCTCAAAGTTGATGGTTAGGGGTGGGGCTGCATGACTAATAGCTCTTGCAACCAGTCAGTGGCAAGGGGTGGGGCCATATGATAGGCAGCACCTGCAGCCAATCAGTGGTGAAGGGTGGGGCCATAGAAGCCCCTTGGCCAATCAGAGGCATGGGGGGGGGACTGTGCTCACCTGTGAAGTAACTGCCTGAGCCCATGTTCTGCCTACAAAATTGGGGGGCAGTCCCTGTGAATTAAGTAGGTCCCTACCAATGACTTAAGTAATGATGTTAATAAGCTAGTGGTTAATCATCTATGGGATAGATTCCATACTCCTATTCAGTCCCTTCGTTTCACTGTAGATCCTACCTACTGGATGGGAAATCCCTGCTAGTCTAAGTGAGCCAGCGTGAACCCTGCACCAGACCGTCTACCACTGTTCCTCTGTCACTGGGAGTGTCTGAGAGACAGAGCGTGCATAAGGAGCTGCACTCTGCCTATGCTCCACACCCCACTCCCACAACACCAGGCAGAGCTCAGGCACTGGAGTGAATTAAGCTTTGTAGATCAAGCATGAATTTATGAAAAGGCCTTACTCAGGAAAGTTCCCCTTGAGCTCACTGAGAGTCCAGATTAATCTCAGTACTTGCATAATGGCCAGCCAAAACTAAGCAAGGACCTTATGTTTTTTCCTATAGATATCACGCACATGTATGTGTTTGCAAACTCTTTGGACATAAATTTATTTTAACAGGTGCTAGCTCAAGTTGGAATCAAGTGGGGAAGCCTTGCCTTCGCCTCAGAAGAGTAACACCTCCAAAAATATAACATGCAGTGCATATGGAAATGAAAGGAGCTTGGAAGCCATTAGACTGTTTGCTTCATAAAGTATTCAAGAGTCTGAGGAAAAAATGAGACTCAAGGTAGCACTTCTAAGAGGTGCAGCATAGAACTAACAGTGTAGGGGAGTAGGGGACTGTCATGATTCAAGCTACCCTTATGTCCTCCTAATCTCTCACTGTAACAGGAGCTTGGAGACTCATGTAAATTGTGACTGCCTCCCTGGGCTGCCTGTAAACTATATGCTACATGCTGTAGTCTTAGTACTGGTTTTTGTGGATCTGCATCTAATTATCTTGAAGGATCTGGGCCCTGGGAATGTAAGCCCTGCTAATTTATACGAAACATAGAGTGTAATTGCAGTGTGTTGGAGCAGACTCAATTTAATCGAGTCTGCTGGAGCATAGTAATTACTGTGCTCCAGCGTACTCCAGTGTCATGTGTATCAGCGTCCCTGTAATGAAAAATGGTGGTGGGGTGCTTTAAACTAAAGGTTCAATGAGCTTCAGTTCTAAGTGCCCCGCTGCCATTTTTCAGCATGGTGACACTGATACACATGATGCTCCAGATGTTTTAATTCATGTGGGTCTCAGACCTGCGCTAATTAAAGCGCCCCAGCCTCTCGGAGCAGGTCTATAAACACTAAGTTCCTAAATGTCTGCGCCACTTTTGAAAATGGGTGCAAAGCCCGGATGCACAAACGTAGTCAGCTACCTAACTCCTGTTGATTTTAATGGAAATAAGGTGACTAATGGGAGGTAGGTGCCTAAATAGCTTTGGGATCTGGCCCTTCAGCTCCTGTGCTTTTGTACCTCAGGGGTGTTGATTTTTAGGACCTCCCTCCTCAAGGAATCATGGAGCCCCATATATACTTGCATTCCCAACAGCACCCAGTTCCACAAGAATATATAAATGGAACTCACCAGTAGCTGCCATACAGCTTCCTTATCCTTTCACCTGTCAACCAAATTTTATGTAGTCCCACCCAAAGGAAGGATGCAAAAAACAGGAGTAGGACAGCAAATATATATAAGGGATGGCATTTAGAGAATGGGGATACATTATCTAATTCATGCTTCTCTTATATGAACCTAGGGGGTTCATTTTATGGAGGTGGATTGTATTTAGCCACAAATATCATGCAACAGATAGAGAAGAATTATAGATTACTTACCTAGTTCTCAACAATTACTTTTGATATTAGTTTCTTAAACTGGATTGTGGGAAAACTACGTACTGTCTTATTTTAAATAACCTACCAAAAACCAGAGCTGAGTTGGAGATTCAGATCATTAAAGCTTTAATTGGAGGGTCTGCACTATACTTGTTGTTTTAGGACAAAATTCATGCTCTCATATTAGTTTTTCTAATATTTTTGGTGGGAATTTATGATTAATTGATTGATATTCTCAAGCAAGCTGTCCATTTAGGTGGTTTTTTTTCAAAACTTCTGAATGAGCAAAAGTCCTAATAATTCTCAGTGAGACTTGCTCTTCCAAATGCAAATTTGGATCTGAAATATTGCAAGGATAAGTTGTCCCTTAACATTTTGCTCTAACAACTAGCAGAAATCTTTATCTATACCTGTAGCAGTCTGCTTAGAGAACAGATATGGAGCCCTGGGAAGAGAAGAGGAGGAACACGTTCCATTGGTGGAGGAGGACAGGCCAGGCCTCCCCAAAGTTGGCAGGATCAAGACCACTGCCACCAAGAAGAAGCAGTGGGTGGTAGTGGTTGGAGACTTCCTTTTGAGGGGGACAGAGGCACCCATCTGCTGGCCTTACTTGTTGTTTCAGGAGATCTGACACTTGCCCCAAACCCAGATCCAAGATGTCACAGAAGGATTACTGAAACTCATCCGGCCCTCTGACTACTAAGCCAACCTGCTCATCTATGTGGGCACCAGTGATACTGCCTGGAGAAACCCTGAGTGATTACAGGGATCTGGGTGCAAGGGTGAAAGGGAGAGGGGCTCAGGTGATATTTTTCTTGATCTTTCTGGTCAAGGGAGAAGGGCCTGGGCAGGATTGGATGCATCCTGCAGATCAATGCATGGCTGCGCAGATGGTGTCACCAGAAGGACTTTGGTTTCTTTGACCATGGGATGTTGTTTGAAGAAGGAAGAAAAGATGGGATCCATGTGACTAAGAAAGGAAAGAGCATCTTTGCAGATAGGCTCGCTGGAGGAAGGCTATAAACTAGGTTTGCCAGACGATGGAGACCAAAGCCCTGAGGTAAGTGGTGCAGTGGGTGACCTGGAGGAAGCACAAACAGGAGGGGGCAACAAGACAGGTGTTCTCATTCTTCCTGAGAAAGTAGGACAATCAGTTACCTCAGGTGTCTGTACATGAATGCACAGAAACAGGGAAACAAGCAGGAAGAATTGGAAGTTCTCAGTGTCATGGAATTATGACATGATTGGAATAACAGAGATACCTTGCATTACTGGAGCACTGTCATGAATAGATATAAACTGTTTAGGGAAGACAGGCAGGGGAGAAGGAGACGAGTTGCATTTTATGTAAAAGTGCCATACGATTGCTCAGAGCTCCAATATGAAATTGGAGATAGGCCTGTTGAAAGTCTCTGGGTTAGGGTTAGAGGAGAGAGCAATAAGGGTGATGTTGTGGTGGGGGTCTGCTGTAGACCACCAAACAAGGAGGATGAGGTGGATAACAGCTAACAAGTTTCCTGATCGCAGGCCCTGGTTCTCGTTGTGGACTTCAGTCACCCTGACCTGTTGGGAAGGCAATATAACATGGGCAATCCATGACATTTTTGGAGAGTGTTGGGGATAACTTTCTGGTATAGGTATTGGAGAGGCCAACTAGGAGCTGTGCTCTTCTTGACCTGTTGCTCACAAACAAGGAAGAATCGGTGGGGAATAGTAATGGACGGCAACTTGGGCAGCAGTGACCATGAGATGATTGAGTTCAGGATCATGAGGGAAGGAGAGCAGCAGAGTACAGACCCTGGACTTCAGAAAAGGAGACTTTGAC